AGCCAGATATGATTTAGGTAAGTGTTTGTAAAATTTCGTAGAGACGTTTATCTCTAACGAGTTTTCAACGAGACCCATCATAACTATGGTCTATACTCCATTAAATTACATCTTATTTGAATGTGTTTTGTGTAGAAGTTTATTATTACATTAAGCTTTGGATTAAGTGATGATATATGCAATGGGTGTACTCTTCGCTAAGAAAGAACAGTTTTCAAAAGTTCAGTTACGCACATGATATTTTTTGATTTGAAAATAGTAACAAATGACGTATCATTAAATTTAAAACGGTCCGCACTGAAGATGCACTATCGCGGTCTCCTACCAAGCCAGCTATCGATTCGAGTTTGTTTAGCTCATGACGTTGCTTGAGCATATAAGCTTTAATTCATTAAATATTTTTAATTGATTGCTAACTTTGCAAAACAAATTGATGATGATTTCATTGATTGATGTTTGTAAAAATATATGAAGTCAATTTTATAAAACATTTTTATATTTTGTATTTGAAATTAAATTTTGTGTGTAACTATTTGTAGTTGTAATGGCAAACTATTATTTGGCGTGTTGAAGCTGACCTGATATCGGAGCCAAGAAGTAGTTACGGACCCCCTCGAGCTCGAACTACTTATAACTCTATGGATATTGAATGTTCTATCTTAATAAGTTCCCGTAGTTCATGTGATACGTGTTCTTCCCTGGACTCAATTCCTTAGTGACAATTTTGTAATTTTAATTCTTTTTTAGTATTGTCTCATTTGACTTTGTTTTTAAAATCCACTATTTAATATGCCATTTTTTTTCAAACCCTAGATGACCTCGTCAAAAAGTTTATAAATTGATAATTTGTCAGAACGTTTTTGAAACTTTTTAATTTATTATTATTTATTATTATTTTAGCCCATTAACCTCTATGTTGACTCAAATGTAGGTACACATTCGTAGCTAGGACCGTAATTAATTTTGGTTGCTGGTTACAATTATTTTTTCTCCCATTTCGAACAGTTTTTATGTTGTTTTTTTTAACAAAAAATATTTGCAGTACACAGTTTATTCTGTGATTTTCTAAACATTGCGCCACATGAGTACCCACCCTCTTGAAATGAATAAATATATCAACTGATAAGTAAAATTCAAACCACTCAAAACACAAACAAATTGTAAAAAAATTAACAAAGGGTTGGTTAAAGCAACAACATGTTATTATGAAACACTCACAGTACCTCCGCTGCCCAATTAAGCTTGTCGAATAAACACGATTAAAGCAGACATGTTAGTAACTTGTTAGAAAATATACGAGTATTAATATAATAATTACCATCTTACAATGGATGGACCCGAATATTTAACGCGTTATTCATCTTTTAGAATAACCCTTTTGTAAGGTCACGGGGTTACCTGCGCGCCGACATTTACCCGCAAGCCATGATATTTTTATAATGTCCATGTACAATAAATAACACCGGTATACTATGGTATTAGAAAATACTTTTAGGCGTATATTAAAATTATAATTTTCTGAAGAAGTCAGATATGGTACCTCTTACCGTGTCGTTCCGCGTGTATTTGGGTTATCACGGTAATAGTAGCCTATGTCCTTCCTTAAGAATCAAAGTATCTCTATAAAAAAATCATTAAAATCGGTTGAGCGGTTTAACCGCGAAAGCGTAACAGACAGAATTATTTTTGCATTTATAATATTAGTAGGGATTTGGTTGTTTCTCTTTTTAAGCTTTGGGCATTTTCTTTGAAACTCAATCAAACATGAAAACCAATTTAAAACATAAAAAAGTAAACTTTATTACCTACCTTATATATCTACTAAATCTATGCTTTACCGTCCTGGGAATCACCTTTATCTATATCTATAGCTGTTCTTGGCGTGCTTAAAACATACCTAAAATAAGTATTTTAATTGGTTACTTTTGGTTTGGTTATTTTACTGTAACTCACTGCTTCTGTTTTACATGTTCAAACTAAAATTTGTGTATAAGGAATTCATGAGCGTCTGTAAACAACATACATACAACATATCGTCCCCGTAGTTGGCAAATTAAATAACTATGATTTTGTAGTTCTGAGATAAACGCGATTCAGTGGTTTTTTTTCAGTTAATGTACATTTGTTAAAAAATGTGAGACAATTTTACTGTCGGTAATTTTATATTTTGTGGACCTGATTACCTTTTATATTTTGCTTTAACAAACTGAACTCTATCTTTAACTATAACAAAATAAAACATTTGTTAAATTTTGTTCAAAATCAAGTTGTTAAATTTTGCCACAACTATTATTTATAACGTAACTAAAATTAGCTACTTATTTCGGCTATTTATTTCGTTTTCCTACAAGCTAAATCCATTTGGTAGAGTAAAATTTGGTGAAATAAATGCAGTTATTGAATTTATCAAACTTGAAATATTTTTAAATGTAAAACTTAGTGGCTTTGTATTTTACATTATTTTGATATTTTTAACTATTTTTAACTATTTTATTGGTCTCATATAAAATAAACGCTGTATTATGATATTAATAAAGTTATATTTTGGAAGAAATATAAAAGTACAATAAAATTTAAAAAAAGGGTATTTTAAACAGATATTTATCTTGCCACAAACTTAAAAAATAAACAAAATTATAGCAATTATAACAAGTGGAAACAAATTAACTTAAGGTATTCTTTCAAATCAAAACAGAAAATAATTTAAACCCATAAAATAATAGTAAGGCTCTAAAATCAGAGACCTAATTACAAAAGACATACTTAAGTAGTAAGTAAAACTATGAAAAACTTAAAATAGGTATGTTATTTAATTTATTTGCCATTTAACTTATCAATGACCACAGTTATTGATTTATTTACTGAGTTATTTATTTTTCCTTCAAAGAAATAGTGTTAGTCTGAAGATATTTATTATTCCATCTGTCTGACAAAAATGGCTATATTTTTGAAATGGAATAAGATATGAAAATGCCTGTAAGGTTCAAATATGCGGCATGTTATAGGTGTTTTGAAAATAGGGAAAAGTCAATATCGCCAAAACCGGACTTATTTAATTTTCCAACTACGGGGACGATATTTGGTATTGGATTTATAAGATTTTAACTACATAAAAATATGTGTAAAGTTCTAAATTATTACTGTTCTAAATATTACTGGCAGTGACTGGTGACGCTTTTATCGATTTTCATAAAGCACTAGGGGAGAGGAGTGTGTTCGACGGAGCTTTGAAAGCAGACCTAAACATGCATCAACACTCTAATTAGGCCATGAGCATACATAATTAGACAAATTTAGGTTGTTCCGGGTATGTGATCAATATTAACATAGGTAACCATTTATGGACGTAAGGAGCGCTTCGCGTGTAAAACCTACCTTTACTTTTTACCTTTTGAAGTGATAACTTCTTATGGGACGGTCAACCGCTTAGTTACGTAACGCGTTACGGGACCAGTCTGTCTTGCTTCCGTTTCTCTCACGCATGCGGCAGCGCCAGGCATTCTTCTTCTCTCACACTCTAACCCACAGCGCTAGCCGTATTTCGGACATACGCTTTACATAAAATTTAAGTAATAACCTAAGCTTTTCTCAAGTTAAGCAATTTCAATATTAAATAGTTAGTTAGAGGCTAGAGGAATACCCTCGGTGTTATCTTCTACCTAGCTTCCTTCTCTTACTACCTAGCTGCGAGTATACCTTCTATAAAGTTCAAACACACACTTCTAACTGTGATTAACATGTTTATTCCATTCCAAACAAGTTACACTTAGATTAGTTAAGGTTGTCACTTCTGTCGGTCGCACACGTTTTTTTTATCAGTCAAATAAACAGGTAACTTGCAGATATTTAGCTAGTAGAAGGCTAGAGGAATACCCCCGGTGTATACACCTTTTATAATTTACCCGGTTGAATAAAGAGTAGTATCAGAACCTCCAATTAAAATATGACATGCAAATGAATAAAAAAGGAACGAAATAAAAAGGTATCATAAGTAACATATCCTACCTAATACTTCAGTCTATAAGCCAGCTCAGTAATTAAAAAAAAACGTTTGTCGATGCTGTAGGGTCAGTTGACCCAATTTTAAGCTCGCGTATGAACATCGGTGTAACAACGCATGCACGTGTTAAATTGGAAACAACCTTTAACACCGTCATTTTCTTTCATTTTTTCAAAATTTGTATGGTTTTTTGTAGGTGATGAAAGCAGTAGTAGAAGGGTAAAAGTATTTCAATTCAGAAAATATCTATGGGATGCTTTACTGTTACGTGTTTGTCTTTAATATTATGTTACAATTTACGAGTATGACCATTTAAACCTTATATTTAAAGCAAATTTAACACTATACAGTTAGTCACAACCTTTCATAGCGGTTTACTTTACGATATTGACCTTAAAATTATGAAATTGAGAGAGAGTTTCACAATACAAGTAAATTCCAAAATTTATTAATTTGTGATTATATCGAATAAAAAATATCTTGCGTTTAGAAAATAGACCGTGACGTTGATTGATATATGGTAAATACTTTTGAAACAGCTAAGTTAAGTTTTATGTTATTCGGAAAAATTAGGCAGAAAAATCCTTAATTCGCGATTCAGCAAAAGAATTTCCTTCGTGTAAAAAGTTTTGTACTTTTCAACGATTAAGGTTATTGTTGTTTATAATGTCGAGTTTAATTCACTAATCCTTTTTTGGGCGGAGGTCATAGGAGTCATGACCCTTATAGCCCCTTTGACCCATGCTATTTTTCAAGCGAAATTAAAATACAAACTTTTGAACTGTCCTACACCTGTCATCAACCCGCACATCTAATATCGAATATGTGCAGGTTGATGGATGGATCAAGAAAAATTTAACATAAGGACTCGATGGTCGGAGCGTTTGCTCTCGCTTCAACCATCTCATTTTGGATCCATCAATGAATACCTGAGTGCCTGAATTAAGTGTTAATAGCTCAAACTGACTTGAAATATCTCCTAAAGAGTTTATATTCTTACCCGGTAGGTAGTAGCGTTGGCAGCATTCGTAGGTCGAAGGGACAGAAGCGCAAAGGGCAGCAGCAGCGCACTGGACATGCGCCGCGGCCCCCCCATCTCTGCGCACCATTCGCGCAGTCCACGCGTCTACCTGCTGGACAAGCAAAATATAAGATCAGCAGCCTCTTTAAATCTCCTCTCTCGGTCACAACTACTCTATTGTAGCCGCTGCCGGTAAGCTACAACATCAACGCCAGTCTAAGATTATTAACTCGATAGGTCGAAATCAGAAACTAGCAAAGTTGGGGTTAAAGGGGGTTTTCAAGATTTCTGATTTATCCTTCTTATCTACCTTTCTACTTTCTATTTAATTCACTCATTGTTACATTACTTGCAATATAAGCTATTCATAAATAAGAGCGAATTTTTGGCTAGTGTAGTCCCATGTGGAGATCGGACCCACAGCACTCAGCGCAGTACTCGTAGTAAGCGGCGTGGCGACCGCTTAAACCACTACGCCATCCGTGCAGTCAATGTATTCATGATAAAATACATTTTAATAGTTTGTAATGTGTTTTGTGCATTTAATAAATAAAATAAATATCTCAATTTTATATCTAATACATAAATTATCTGATTGACGGGAGAGGGCACTCAAAGGACGGGAACACACTGGTGTCTCTAGAGCTGGTTGTGTCCATGGGCAGCGGTAACCACTTTCTATCAGGTGGCTCATGTGCACGTTTGACCCCTATTACATTTAATAAAAACTTTACTTCTGTCGTCTTCACTTCTTCAGTAAAGTTCTTTCATTTCTGTTGATAGACAGAAGTGAAGCCGACAAACTTTGATAAAAATTTTTTTGATTATAATAGGAATCTTATTTGTTTTTTTCGATTTGAAAAGTTCCGACATGAATATAAATCTACATTGTACATAATAATAATAAATTTATTTCCAAAACAATTATACATAGAAATTTACAGTACATGTTAGTTACAGGACAATTTTAGTCGTCGGTAAGATCGAAATATCCATGTTAATTAGTGAAAAACCCTGCCTTTAAAGCTAGGTGACACCTGTATCTTATATATATAGGGTTATATAGGGCCATACATTTATACAATATTATATAAAACTTTTCTAATACAGAGCAGTTGTGAATGCTTTGTGTATTAATTATTAGTGCTCGATAAATTATATGGCTATGGTATAAGAGGAACTGCACACAAACTTTTGGAATCATATTTGAGTGACAGGACACAATGTACTGAAATTTATAGGATTTGCCTATAAATTTCAGTACATATCTGATCAGAAAGAAAATATATTTCGAGACCGCAGTTCGTCCGGTATGGCGTCCCTCAGGGAAGCGTACTGGGACCGCTGCTTTTCTTAATATATATCAACGATTTACCAAAATGTACAGAGCATCAAATGGTCCTCTTCGCTGATGATAGCACATGTGTCATCAAATGCTCTGACTTAAATACTTATAAAACTGATATTGATAACACATTGCATAACATAATAAATTGGCTTGAAAAAAACAACTTACTAATAAATCTGAATAAAACAAAAATCATGCATTTCCATCAAAGGCGTAAACCTAATGTTCATTTACATTTTAAAAATTATGAAATTGAACAAGTACATGAGGCCAGGTTCTAAGGACTAACATTCGATCACCAACTTAATTGGAAGGCACATGCTGAACAGGTGTGTAAACGGCTTAGTAAATCTGCGTATGCACTAACACAGCTGTCGAAGAAAGTTAGCAATGAAGTTCTGTTAACTGCGTATCATGGGATGATAGCTTCAATTTTAAGATTTGGTGTTATATTTTGGGGCTATTCAACAGAGCGAGAGCTTAATTTTAAAATGCAAAAAAATGCATTAGAGCTATGTGTAGATTAAAGTCAACAGACAGCTGTGTACACTACTTTAAATTGCTAAAAATATTCACATTTCCTTCCTTATATATATTTGAGAATACTGTGTTCGTTAAAACTAATATACATCTCTTTGAAAATCTATCAAATACTAGGCGAGGTCCTCTGCGCGCTCAATATGCCAATAAATTATGTCAAGTAAAATGTACAACAACGCTTTTGCAGAAAAGTTTTTATGGTATGGCCCCAAAAATCTTTAATAAATTACCTGATAGTATTAAAAACTTACAGTTGAGCCAATTAAAGAAAGAACTACACAAACTGCACATCAATAAATGCTACTACAGTGTAAATGAGTTTTTAAATAACATATTATTGTAATGTTCAATTTCTTACTCATGAAATTTACTACTCTAGAATATAAGAATCTCATATTAATGATACTGACAATAATAATAACTATATTTGTTAATATTGTGAAATGCATAATGTTTCTTCTATATTTCATTCTTATCTATTAATTTATTATAATAACTCGAGGATTAACATTTAAATAATTAATTTACTTTTCACAATTTATTTGTGAAGACCAAATACGATTAATAATTAATGAATTGATGATAGATAGATAATTGACTTGTATTTCTATAACTCTAAGAAGGACATTGCATTAATTTAATATCTTAAAATGTTTGTATGTATAACTTTATAATGTTTCAGTGTCAATCCTGATTCTGATCTTGATAAACTACACTGTATAATTTTGCATGCCTTACGGTAGAAGCACTTGAAACCTATAATTTTTTAACACCATTGTAACAGTGTTTTCTGCAAAATAAATAATTTGAATTTGAATTAAGATTAAGCTGTTCTGCATGATATGGTACTATGCAGTGTGTGTGTGTGCGTGCGCGCTCGTGAGTGAAAGTATTTGTGTTTAATTTGTAGTTTTATGCGATGTAATTAAGCAATGATCCTGTACTGAAGTAGTCCTGTTTTAGTAGCCATTCAGTCAAGATCGGCCCTCTCGCGATCCCGTTCAGCTATCTCTTTCTGGAGCATTACAGCTTCACAAAAAGACGATATAGGTACACCTGTACACCTATATCGTGTCAAAATTTGAGCTCGAGATATTATTTAGTCACGTAAAATGTGATGTACTTGTTACAAACAAAGATAGAAATATTTCTGTTTTATATTTTCTATGATTCATTTATCTGATACCAAAGCCCTACTTTGTTTTCTCAGTCTGTTTATTCTGGGAGGGAATACCAAACTTTGTTTAACGTGTGTGGTACATCAACCACTTGGGCGTGACGTTACGTGTTTACAATATACATATAACTAACTTACAAGTTAGTTTACTTTGTAACTTTGAGCTTCACCATTTGCTCTTACTTGATAAGTCACCCAAACCAACAAATCTTCTATCTTCAGATATTATATTCTCCGGAGGATCGGATTTATCAATAGATATCATGCTATATTACGAAATAACCTATTTAAATAGGTTAATATGCATATTGTTTAATATATTAAAATAATGCATTATTTTCCCATAAAATTGATTGACATGACAACCCCTATTCATCGCGTGGGTGTCGTAAGAGCCGACTAAGGAAGCAAATTACGCAGGACAACAGAACTGCAAAGAGAAAGAAAACTTTAAACAATCACTATTACAACCCGTCAGGCCAGCGTGGTATAGTAGGCCAAAACCTTCTTTCTAAGGTGCGGCCTATGTCCAGTATTGGACCATTACAGGCTGTTGATGATGATGATTGTTAAAAGTCATGTATATCTAAAAGAACCCTAAAAACAGCTTCATCAAGCTACACGCATCTAGTATATGTATATGTAAACCTGACCGCTTAACTCCGTTCAAGTTGTACTGGCTATAAAAAAACCTTCTCGGACTGACGACTTCCTATTATATTACTTAGTTATAGCTCCTTTAAAATGTTAAAAAAGATATATAAAGTTAAATTCTGATAAGAAGAAAAGAATGACTGCCATTTATGGACGTAGCTTCATAAGAAAGCTACATTTTCATATTTTAATGATTTTTTTGCACAGCTGATCAAAACACAATAAAAACACTAATCAAATTAGTTTTTCTCGTACCTTTCATATTTTAATGATTTTTTTGCACAGCTGATCAAAACACAATAAAAACACTAATCAAATTAGTTTTTCTCGTACCTTTCATATTGATTTGTATAATATTTTTTATCGGGTAAAAATTTCGCTAAAACACTTAGCGAAATTTTTGGGAGCACAGATAACAATTGAGTGTCCAATTTATCCATGCTGTTAACAAACACTCTGAAGAGCTGTGAGGCGGCTTATCTAAAGCCGATTTGGGCACTCGAAACGGACTGAATTGGTGGATTAGAGGCGTTGAAAAGCTGGATTGAATGTAAACATTATTTTTGTTGTAAATATTTTAATTGTGAATAAAACAGGTTGGATGTCAGGTATATCTTATTTAATGCATGGTCTATGTAATAAATTTAGAAATTTTCCTTTATTTTTATTGGGTTTCATTACTACGGTCGAAATTATAAATCCTAAAAATCTTAAAGTTCCTATTTACCTAGCTATTTAAACCATTAGCTAAGAAATTATCATTTTGGTAACTTGCCAAAGTGGGTATTTGCTAAGTAAGTCGATTTGATTTGAGTTTGTATAAAGAGTATAACTAAAAGTATAACTAGGTGGGGTTAGTGTGAGTCTTTTATTTTATTCATGTTTATTAAAGAATGACCGAAAAATACGAGTATGATGATGATAAAAGCTAAGCGTCATGTCTCATTTTGAAACTAATAGTCATTAAACATTTCATCACTCTATTTATTATTGTGATGTAACTAATACTAATTAAGTAAGGAGCAGCTGTCCCTAGAATACAAGAACTTCTAGTGACTAAATTAAATAAGTAAACGTTACTGGTGAATGTTAAGGAAACAACTTGTATCTTCTTTGGCTATCAGCTGCTTCCACTGGTTTTAAATTTTTGCGCGGTCTATTGTTTATCCATAAATTAAAACAACCGCTTAATACCCGCAACGTGCAAACATATACCGGTGTGTTTTAATTTTATTTTGATATGCATTTATAGATAACAATGCAGACCTTCTTCCTTGCCTTAGTATTCTGCAAGAATAGCACTGCACATGCGTTTCGCATTCCATTTCGACGTTTGTACCATAAAATAAATCGCTT